ATTAGTACACCAAAGCAGTCTCATTTCTTGATTGATTGAAGTGATTATTTCACAGGATGCTCTTGAATCAAAAGTCCTCTGAAGGCTAGAATTTTAAAATTAGGCCCTTTGTGCAGACTAGCTTCTGAGAACAAGAACAATTAAGGCAATTTAAAATAGCATTAAAATTTTTGATGAAAAAATTTTGAGGTTGTATGTCAGCTGCTGAACTTTCTGGGGGATGTAGGACTTAAGCTTTAAACATTAACGATATGAAATTGTTTTGAACTTGCAATAAAAGTTGTTGGGTTTTTTTTGTCATTGAAGTGATAAAGGAGTCCATGTAGCATAGCCATGCCTCAAAGCCAGTTTACTCACCTGGTACTTATTTAAAAATCTATTGGTAGTTATGATAAGTTTAATGTTTGAGTTTGATTTTTTTTACTAGTTTTCTGATTTATGAATACTAATTTCTTGGAAAATTTGAAAATTTCCTAAAAGTAAAAATTTAGATCCTGTTATCCAACTATACTATACAAAGATAACTGCAGTTCAATGTTTGGTGAATTTTCTTCCAGACTCTTTTTTTCCAAATGTATAATAAATATTAAAGTTATTTTATAGTGGAGATTATGCTGCATTATATGGTACTGTGTCTTGCTTTTTTCATTTTAACGTGAGCATTTTCCCCATGGCATTAAAACTGTCTTTGAAAAATTGAAAGCATTTTGGGCTGTGAGCATAACTGAAAATGTTTTCTTGGTTTGACACATGTATCTTTGTAATTGGTTTGATTTAGTGTGCTTTGCTTCAATAAAAGTTCAGTATTACAATTTACAGATTGGGGTGGGGAGTGGTATCTACTTCAACTTAATGGAAATCTTCCTAGTAGAATTTCTTTTTCAATGATTGAACCTCCCCCTGGTGCATTTAAAACACCACATTTACACACAAGTGCTTCTTGATTAAAACCTCAGAACACAACTTGGTGAAAAGGGAGGGCTACCCATTTGAATAGTACAATTCATTTCAAATGCAAGCATACCAGTTTCTTAGGGTTCAGGCAGGATGTTAATCACTTGGTTCGAGTTGTGTGGATGTCAAATTCCGCCTTTCCACTGGAGATGAGAAAACTGGTGGAGCAGATCTGCAGGGGGTCCTGAACCTGTGCTTATCAGGTCAACAGTACTAACAATCTGCCTTCTGAAGAGATGGCCCTCTGTTCTCATAAGTCTGGGGGATTTGGGGTGGGGTGGTGGGTGGAGTGGGGTGCAGAGGTGGAAAGCAAGTAGAGAGTGTAGACGTGGCTTCCAGGCCAGGGGCTGCTGTGTGGAGGAGGAAGGAGGTGGATTGGTTCTACATTTGCTCTTTCTCTGCCTATATGTGACATGACTATGTGTTGGTAAGCTGGAATCACATATAATATTCAAAACAGGATTTTCTTACTGTACTAAGCCTGAACTTGGTATGAGAATAATAGTTTTGTGCTACTTTTAACAATTTACCATGTAACTTAGATTCTTATAACCTGGACTTGTAACTTTGTTTTAGCTCCAGTGGGGGCTTTCTTTTTCCTCCAAAGTATGATTACATTCTCCTGACCTTTTTTCCTCACTCTTTTACTAATCATTTAAAATAAATGCAGAAGCTTTACTGATAAAATTTATCTTGTATTAAGGAATTGAGACTTTTCTGTCTAATCATACTACTTGTTCTATTGCTTTTGTCAATTGATATTCCCATAGCCCTTTTGAAAAAGTGTTTTTTGGGTAGAAATTGAGTTATATGCCCATGGGCTGTACAACTTCATTTTTAGTTCTGAAGCATGTGTTAGATTCTCTGTACTTGTATAGGCCTGATTGTTCATTGGCTTAGTAAGGTTTCCTAAAGCATCTTCTCGTAGCTGTCATTGGTTTATTAAATAAAATTTGGGCTGTTTAAAATGCACATATTTTTGGTTGTTAATCTTGATTTTTTTACACCTGAAAAGTCTTTTTGGGGAAGATTAGATAGTTTAAACTTTGAAAAGAAACTTCACTGTTGAGAATAGTAAGTAGGAAATGTTGCACATTGTGATTTTACTTTAGCTGTCAAACTAAACCCCATGTCATATATCCAACAAAAAAAAGATTGTGATTTTACAGAAGTTACTGGGGAATTTTCAAATTCGAATTGATGTTTACTCTCATCTTATTAATGGAGAATGGCAGTTGGTATGTCTGTTCACTTCTGCTGGAGTGACTTTCGAGTCTTGGGTGTTTGTCACTAAGTGTTAAAACTTACTGCCATGGAACCTTTTACCTTACAAAGGGCATTGGTTTGGGGTTTCATGAGGTGTGTTTTCTCTCTCTCTTTTCTTTTTTTTTTTTTTTTTGTGGTTTCATATGATAAAGGGTATCCTGAGTTTAATTACTGAAGTAGCCCAGTTTTTTGCTGAAGGTCCAAATTATGAAACCTGCCTTATGAAACAAGTATGAAATGCTTATTATTTAGAGTTATGTGGACACCTTTTAGTATGTCGCGAGCTTTGAGATTAGAAAGGAAGGCACAGCTCTCAAGTTTACGGGCTTGGTGAAGAACTTAAAAAATTGCCAGCTTGGGATTCACTGCGTTAACTTGATGGCAAAGCTTTAAGTGAAGGGAGCTACTTGAGTTTATTTTTTGGTGTTAAGTAAATAAACAGCTTTGTACTTAAGTGGGTTTTAAAATACTGAATAGGACTTTGAAGCATTATTTTTTCACAATTCAGTGAATGCTATGTGCCAGATACCTTGTTAAATTCATTAGGTAGAGATGAAAAGACTGTTGAAGAGTCTAATGATTGTACTGTGCTATTACAGAAAAGTGAGCCCGAAGTGCTCCTTTTCCTTTTTTAAAATTTATTTTTAATAAACCTGTTCGGGCCAAGGAAGAAGGAGTGAAGTTCTTTATGCAAATGTTAAGTTCGAGATGTCCGGGCAGTTAGAAAAATGGATAGGACTTTGAGCTCAGGAGAAATACCTGCTTTTGTGGCACGGATTTGGAAGAAGATGGGTAATCAAAGGGGCAGCCTGGGTAATACCAACTTGTGGGGCAGAAACATCTGCAAAGGCCACAAAGCAAGGAGCGGAGAGTTTGAAGCAGGAGGGAAGAGGAGCCAGCAAGAGACTAAAAAGGAGAGGTAGGAAAACCAGGATAGAAGGACTCAGAGGAGGAGGTGCTGGAGGAATCATCGGGGAGCAGATGTTAGAAGGGAGGCACAGGCCCAGCCATTTTAAGGAACTGGAAATTACGTGTTATAGGTAGTTAGGATTCAGTCTTACGGGGGAAGAAGTGAAGAAGGCAGGAAGGGAGAGGAACTTAAAAGAAATGGAGCCTAAGGCATGCCGGGCCCTAGACCCTAAAGCCACTTTCATTAAAAATCATTTAGATTTTGGAGGGGCTATAATTGGCTTGAATTTGAGTCCCAGCTCTTTCTTACTAGCTGCATGATCTTAGGTGGCTTACTTAATCTTGATTTTTCATATACAAAATGGAGGTAATGCAGATATCATAGGATTATTTTGAGGATAACACTGAAAAGTAGTACTTAATGTGCCGGATACAGGAAGTACTCCAATATTAGTGTTTGTATTTAATTTTTTTAATAGGTGCCAGTCTTGGAAAGGCAGTTAGAGCTTAAAAGGGACACGATCAGCTTTCCTCTGGCCATCAGTGGGAAGGGTGATGCATTTTTTACAGGGAAGAGCAGTGAGGGGACCGGTTGGTTAGAGCAATTGAGAAGAGTGGTGTGGGCTGCAGAACATGATCAGCAAATGGATTGAGGCTGTGGGTTTGAGAATGGTCAGTATTTGTAGGGTGAGAACAATGTCGAAGGGAATTATAGATTTGGAATGGTAGGAAGCAGAATACTTTTTCAACTTAATGTTCACATTTAAGTCATATTTGCAGAGCATAAAATTAGAACAGGCCCCTGTGAAACCAACCTCTAAGCTTATTTTAAATCCTATTCTTTGGAAACACTGATTATACTAGATCATGTTATATAAATTTAATCAAGCAATAACAAAATCCCTGTGTGAGGCTAGAAGAGCCTAAGGGAAATTCATGAGAAGGAAAGTCCACTGTCAGTGATACTAGATTTTTTAATTCAGCGCTATGGTTTATGTTTTCTTGCCTCACTCATTCCTTTTACAGATTTATCCTGGACATTTAGGAGTGGGGACACGTTGGCTTCCTTAACTGTTAACATGTGTAAGGAATTGAGTGTTCAAGCCACAAATGCTGGGTCTGTTCTGGATTTAATAACTTATACCGGGCAAGCAAAGAAACAGGATTTTTAATGCCACTCTTGCCCTCGCTTCTGTAAAAGATTATAGGTGATAATGAGTTAGGCAGTTCTAAGGGGGGCATGTCTCCTAAATAGAGTACAGACCTTGTGCGATCAGGTAGCCCAATTTGTGTAGGTCAGGTTTATCTTGTACTTGATCTCCCAGCATAATTTATAGTAGTAGCCTTTTTGGGGGGTTTGGTAATGTACTGTTTTGGATGGTAGATTACAAAGTCACCTTATCTAGAGGGGGTGTTGGAACAAACCCCCTCAGGCCTGGAAATGATTGCCTGCTCCCCCTGTGTTCATGGGAGCACACACCCACACTCAACCTACACCCACAGACACATCAGAGGCTCTGTCAAAATGGGGACTTTTGATAACCAAAATTGTTTAAAACGGGTACCATATATCTTCAGCTGTGAATTGCGTATGTACCTAGCCAAGCAGTAGATCGGAGTATTTCACAGTCTGTTTGTACACCTAGCACGGTACTTGCCCAATATTATAAAAATTGGTAGTATTACCAATAAAGCATCTCATGTATCAAAGCCAGACAGTTCCTCTTTCCAAAATAAAGCTTACCTGCTCCCTGGGGACCCCTTACAAAGAAAAGACATCCTTTGACACTATGAACATTGAAAGTAAAGTGGATTGCTTTCAAAAGGGTTGAATAATTGAGCAACTCTAAAACCTTTTTTCTTCTTCCTAGGTCTTAGTGGTGCAATGGCTAGTATAAGCGTGCGTTCGAGTACCCCAGGCTCTCCTACACATGTAAGCAGTGGATCGAATGCTAGTCGAAGGAGAAATGGACTCCATGATGTCGATTTGAACACTTTCATATCAGAAGAAATGGCACTCCACTTGGACAATGGTGGAACTAGAAAGCGTACCTCAGCCCAGTGTGGCGATGTCATTACAGACTCACCAACCCATAAACGCAACAGAATGATCTAAACTGAAAACATTTTCACACCCACCATGCTGCTTGAAAGCCACTTGATCCTCAACATATACTATTATTGCAAAGGAAACATGAGGCCATCTTCCCTTGTTCAGTTTAAGACAAGTGAATTCTATAGTGGTTGCCATAAATGGAAGTTCTAGGTATTTACAGTAGATGCCTCTTGTAACTATGGCTTTCTTAAAACTATAATCCTAAGCAGAGGACATCAGATATTGTGTAGTCGTTAGCAAGATCATCATAGGCAAACATATATTCGTTCCAAGGCTAAAAGTGACCTTAACTGTATTTATTCTCAAAGGGAAAGGAAATATCGGATGTTTATTTGGTTACAGAGTGCGTTTTTAAAAAAATTTCCTGCTGTGCTGAGTATTTTGCTTCAACAGTATTGCCAGGTTCCTAAAATTGTCTAAAACACACGATTTGGCTTCCTTGTCAAATCTGCAGGCTTCCATTTTTTGCACAGCAGCACTGTATCATGCACCTGGTTTCTATATAGTAACAGTGTGCAACTTCTAATTATCGAACTGTGCTCTGGTTTTAGTTTTCACAGCAGTTGCAAATTCTGGTGATTGTGTGATGTTAAGAGGTGCTATGATGGTCATGCAGTTAATACTTAATATTGAATCAATACAAAGAACTATTGGATTCACTTTGTGTGTGTTAGTGCTCTAAAAGTAGCAATAATATTAAATTGCCCCCAGATTAACCCTGTAGGCTTAAACTCCAGTTTTAAGACAAGTACTGCTTCCCATGCAGGGTACTATACTTAAAGTAAATGTAAACATGTAGACTACTCAAGGTGGCCTCAAGTAGAGAGGTTATGAACTTTGAGAGTGGGCTTCCTCTTTGGTTTGGTATTCATGAGAGGGAGATGGATGGTGGGAGGGTAGGTATTCCAGACTTTCTGTTATGCTTTACATTTCTCATGAGTACCCTACTTTGTGCAGTTTCCATAGGAATGGGTGGCAGGTAAGAAAAGGTCTTTTATCTGCTTATAATGTGATTACAACTTAAATAGCAAAACCCAACTCTCCAGTCCTTCTCTTAAAAAGTGCTGTTTGGATTCTCATTCTGGAAAAGATGGAATCGCATGGAGGTTCTCTAGATGTTAGGTAGAGCTAAATAAAAATTCCACTATATTTCTCTTTTGGGTAAATATAAGACCTCTTGTAGCTACTATGTTTTAGAGCATGTTTCATCTTCATTTTTAGTACCTTCAACTGAATGATAGTCTTTTTTAGATGAAGAACTGATGTCAGCCTGCCAGGTACTGTAATTTATTCTATCCTATTATTATATAATATATATCAAGTAGGACAGTGACAAATGTTTCCTTGCAAATTTGTAGTCCAATATCAGTTACTTTCTATTTTTATCCTTAAAAGACCATTGCAAATCCAATGTAAGGATTTTTCCAGTAATTTACTCACAGCACTTTGTTAAAGTTTGCAATTTCTCCAGCCATTTAATAATACCTTTATGTGAAGAAACTTTGCTAAGTTAGCCATAATATTCATGGACTGGGTGGGATGAGAATAGAATGTTAGAAATGTGTGAACCGAAGTTCTGCAATCATATATATAAAACCTTTATTTAAAGTCAATTTCATACTATAGGAATGAAAGGAAAGGTATTTCTAAATTTTTGCAAAAATGGATCATTTTTATTTGAATATTATAGCAGGAGGAATTACAGCAATCATTTTACCTGAAACGGACAAGCCTCCTCTGTATTAGGAATACTTGCAAGCTGCACTTTGGACTGTAGTAAGAAATGCAGTTGGAGTTATCTGTGTTTTTCTGTCATTGTAAATTTAGATGCTGGGACTGGGGTTTGATGGTGATGCGTTGCTCACAATTGGCCAGAACTCCTCCTAGAGGATTTTTTGAGATCGAGGAACACATATTCAATCTCCCCTTTATACCTTGGTTCTAGTTCCTCTTTTCAAATTGAGTGGCAATTTTGGGGGGGCTTGTTTTAGTTGCTGCTCTGATGCTTAATCTCAGTACCCTTTACTCTCAATTGTCAAATTTTGGTAAAACATGTGCCATTTTCTTTGGTAAGAGAAAGCAGGTGTTACTGTCTGCCAGAACACAATTTATATGCCTTATTGGCTGCATTAAACTTTTTGAAAACTTTAGCATTCGTTAATTTTTTCCATTGCATTTAATCACTTGTAACTCCCTTCTTCCTTTCCATCCCATTGTTCTTTCTCCCTTGTGCCACCTGAGTGCCGATTAACCCTGAAACCTAAGAATAGAAAGGGAAATGATTTCTTTTAGGGAAAGTTAGTCTGCTAGATTTTTGAACCTTTTCTTTGTACCATTTTAGGTGCAAAACAAATCATGGAAGATTGCATATTTGTGTGGTACTTTTTTAAAATAAATTTTTCCGGTCTTTTGAGAATATTATTGGCTGAATTTTAGAACTTAACACTTTGCTTTTGGGGAAACAGAACCTGTTTTCATCATAAGGTAGATTCTCTGATTCTTTGAGACTTCATAGCTCATTACTTCTGTTGTCCTAACTTGGTATGAATGGATTGAAGTCATCCTTAAACTGCGGTTGTTCTGAGCATGGCTGAAGCATTTAAAACTTAATTATAATGTCTGGTATTTTACAGAGCAAAAATAATGGAAAGTATTTGGCTGAACCTAAAGTCCTACAGTCAAATTCTTCAATGTGGTTTACCCAACTGGAGTAGTGGTACACACCGTAAATCATTCGATGAATAAATAATTATAAAAAACAAAAACCTATGGGGCTTGTCTGCAGTTTTGTTTTGGTCATCACATCTGAATAACTCTTTGTTGTAATCAAATGAAGTCCAGGCTTTTAAAAAAGAACCAGCCTTCTACATTTTTTCCTCTAAGGGCTATTGGAACTCATTAGATTTGAGTAACTGTGGCTTTGGGCCTTAGCGGTTTCCCTACAGCAGTGAAAGTTGGCTTGCTTCCTGTATAGTAGGGGGTGGCCAAGATCTGACCATGAGGTGAGCCATCTCAGTGCACTGAGGACGCGTGATGCCAAGAGATGGTTGGAAATACGGTCATTAGTTGGGGACAGGGACAGCACAGTTAATTTTAGAATGTTATGAACAAATCATTAAATTTTTCATATGATTACTGCCAGGGTTTTTTGAGAGGTGTAGTGACTATGTTAGTAAGTTAATCTCATTGCATTTTTATTTCATTTTATTTCATACAGCTGTGTCTTTGTCTACTAGGTTGATTACTAGGTGTCTAGTGATGAGGTTGGACATCTTCAGAAAGATACTCTATCTTCTTGGAATGGACTGACTTGGAAGGTTCCTCCAAACAAGATCCGAAAAAGCCTTATTTATTAAAGTTAAAAGAAATTAAGATTTGTTAGATTGTTCTGATCAGATGTTTATAGTGCCTGCCCACCTCCCAGCCTCCACCCCCCCCCCCATCCTCTTTGAGAGCTGTTACAACTTTGATTAGTTCAGATGACCTTACCACCTAAGGCTAGCTTGTAGACTCCTCACTGGAATGTTTCTGGGGTGTGTGGTGTTTTAGTGGGGAAAGTATTATGGCTGTTATTCTGTATGTTAGACTACATTTGATGTAGTGAGATCCAGGGTTTTAGTTCCTGTGATGGGACATGCATGTTCTCTGTCAAGTTCAGTAGGTAGCAGCTCATGACATGAGAGGGTTTTGCAGGTTAAACGCAAATTTGTAGCTTTCAGCCGAACTGGGAAGTTTCATTGATACTATTCCAAGTTTCCAGTGGCCCCTTATTTTATTTGTATGGAATCAGTTCTCTAAAGAACACCTAAAACTGCAAAAATTAAGCACGTAACAGCTTACAGTGTATATAGATCTTCGTACATCAGAGTATATATATGGTGGTGTTTTATGACCAAGTAATATGCTATTATATGGGTGGGCCTTCATGGGAGTCACAGCTTTTGGTAATTATTAGTACAGTGGTGAATATTTTAGTTTCTTTAGGTTTCTGTAGGGTAAATTTCTTCAGGTAAAATTGCTGGTTCAAAGGAATTCATATTTACAATTATAAGCCAAGTATACAGTTAAACTTTTTAAAAAGCTGTTTATTGATTTTAGAGAGGGAGAAAACCATCCATGTGAGAGAGAAACAACAATTGGTTGCCTCCCACGTGGATTAGAATCAAACTGCCAACCTTGTGGTGTATGGGATGGTGCTCCCACCAGCTGAGCTGCACTGGCAAGGGCCAAGGGAATTCATATTTAAAACACTGGATGGTCCTTCTGCAAGAAATAGTTAACGCTGTGAACATGGTGGGTGACCAGAGTGCCTTTTCCCTAATGCCTTAGCCACTGTTGGCTAGCTATACTACTTGCAGGCAGAGATGAGCTTACCATTTTCATTTACTTTTTGCCCTGTCATAAGGAGAAAGAATCCTTGAAATTATGTAGATTTGACTGCTGATCCCACTACTTACTATGTATTGGAACCTGGGCCTCTTTGGGCTCAGTTTTTGTCATCTGGGAAATACAGAAAAAAAGCGACATGAAGCTTAGTGACTTGAATTGTATGGATAATTTATATCTACCTTTGTAATCTGCCTCCCATTTGTAGAGCCCCTGAGGGCTCTGGAATGGCTGATAGTTTTAAAAAATGTTCCACTGAAAAAATTAACACACCATTTCTGTGAAGTGTGAGACAATTAGTATGAAGGCCCTTTTGACTTGTCCTCTGCCTTCACCCTCTCTGCAAAGGTAAAAATAGTTTTGGAGAGTAATTGTCCAAATTGTTTTTTTATGTTTATCAGTCATGTATGTAGCCATTAAAATATGCTGGTTGATTGGTGGTAATTTAGGAGTTAGTGCTAGCCAATATTCTTCAGTGATGAAAGTCATTTTGGGCGATGGGAACTTTGATTTCATCTTGTTCTGGTCCTGTTTGAAACCTGGGGGTGTTAGGTACCAGACATGATGTTTCTGTGCTGTGAAGGCTTGTCTGCACAGGAATGAGATCCTATTTTTCAGACAGGCTGAATTGACTGCCTACCAAGGAGATGCCACAGACCACCAAGTACAGGTAGCCTAACTTCATTGGTACTTAATCCTCAGATCAGGGAACCATGCTTTTTGGACCCAACTTGTGTTTTAGCCGTGTGCCGCCACAGCTTTGATGCAGCCCTCTCTCACAGCACAACTGCACTCGGTAGTAAGGGCTGTAGCATTCCTTCCTTTTGGGTGTGGTAGGTGTGTCCTCTGAGCTTACAGAAGTGTTCAGGGGTTGTCCTACTGTTTATCCAGCTTTAACAGTAGGCATGGCTCAGCAGGCTGATAAAAGTGTTTTGTAGCCTGACTGAGAAAGGAGGATTGGGGGGCCTTAGGTCAGCCTTGGGTCAGCCTGCTACCCCTGGATTCCCTGGGTTGCTTTCAACACCCAAGGGCCAAGTGGATTTGTACTCCAGATGACTTTCTCAATAAATGCACTAGGGTATGTGCCACTGCCATTGCAACTTTGAGGTGGGAGGAAATGTTTTCAGGCCATTGATATTCCTCAGGAGTGGCATTGCTAGAGCTGGAATGCCTGTGGGGAGAGGGAACATTTTCCCAAATTGTCCCTTGAGTGCCATGAAAGGAGGTGGATGGCTTTCCCATCTTATCTTTGAAGGTGACTGTCATAACCACAATGTTAGTGTTGATTTCAAGGTGCATCTAGAAATTGGTAACTGCCAAGTAGTTCTGATTTGCTGTTTGAGGCTTCTTAGGTTAACATAAATACATAGACCTGTTTGCTAACACAATTACATTCTGTATATTAAGGTTTGTCTCTTGCCCATCTCAGTGTTTCTCAAATGGTTTGGACTGTGGTCTACAGAGATAACCTCCTGTCAAGACCTCATGTGGAAAGACCCATCCACCATATAAGTAAGACAAGCTGTAAGGAGCTGTTCTTACTGTGTCTGGTGCACTGCTTTTGATAGTTTCTTGCCGTTTTCATTGAACAGTATGCTGTGTATTAACTACCGCATCTATTCCACAACTGGTTTGTAAACCTGGCACTTTGGAGGCCGCACCCAGCACTGAGTAGGTACCCGGACATTTCTTGAATGAATGAGTAGAGAAAAGGTGGCTTGAAGAAATTTCTTCAGTTTTCATGAAAAGTCCCTATTTTTCCTCATGGGACCTCACAGTCTGTCAAAGAAGCACCGGGGTACGGTGGGTGAGAGCAGGACTAATGGGGGTGGGTGGGGTGTAGTGGAGCCCTGCCTCAGGTCTGCTGAGATGAAGATGCCTGGGATGATGGCTGGCACGTGGTGAGCACTAACGTCAGTCATTAAATGTCACCCTCATTGGCTGGATAAGATTTCCTTCTGAGTGAGGAGCTCTCCTGGGTCCTACACTAGCTAGTTCCCTCCATTTCCTTGTCCCTACAGTGTTCTCAAACTTGTATGCACAGAATCAGAAATGAGCCCAGACAAACTGGGACTTAATGGGGTGGGACCAGGCACCAGTTCTTTCCCAGCTCCTCCAGTAGAGACCCAGTGTCCAAGGACCTGTGTGGTGCATTCTGCAGAGCAATCTGAGGGGAATGTTGCTTTGGCTCTTTTTCAGGTTTTTCCTGGGCAGATGGCCAGTGGCTCTGGCCTTCCTTGGTTGTCCCTGAGGCTGAGGGCAGTTGGTGTTGCTGGAGGCCTACGTCCCTCCCCTTGGGCTGCCTGCCCATCTGCTTTAGTTCCTCAGGCTTTGAGGAAATCGATGTGACCAGGACACGGGGAAGTGTGTGTTCAGGCTCGTGATCAGGGCATGGGGCAGTGGGCAGCATGTTTTTAGGATTGGCAGGGGGAAGCATACCCACGAAGCCTCAGAGCATGGTGAATGAATCCTGGCTCACCAGAAGAGTCTCCGGCATTTGGTGGTGCTGGTCACTGTGGCAAAGGTTTAAAATACAGTTTCTTGGACCCTCTTACACACACTAAATCCAAAGGTCTGGGGTTGGGGACAGGGTTATCTTTCTTTTTAAAGGCCAATTAAAGAGTTAAAAAAATGGATCTAAGTCCTATCATTTTGTTACCTCTGTTTACATTTTGAAACCTACATTGATAATAAATACATGCACTTTAGGGAAGATTGTTAAGAAGGGTTCAAGGTGAAAGTGTTCCTGAGCAGTCTCTCCTGG